ACACACACACACACACTCACACATACACACACATACACACACACACACACACACACGCTGTTGCATGGGTCACTGTCACTTCTCACAGTGCCAGCACAGATTATGGAGATAAATGTTTGCTTTGGAGAAAATAAAATCGGCTTGAAGCAGCTGCTACGCTGCTAATTCAGTCCAAGTGCTCTAAACCTCAGACTAAAGCCTGCATTCATAAAAATATCATCAGTTTCTTCTGATAGACTGAAATTCTGGGTTTATGATCAACCAAAGCAGCATCTTGACACCATTTCTCTTTTTCTTGGTGTTGCATTAAGTTGTCGGACCAACATGGTTACATCACGTGTTTAAGGTTCTTTTTTCTTGCCTAATCACAACTAGATGCTCGATGTTCTTCACCTGTCGGATGTTTTAATGTTGCACCTTAGCGGTTTCTGTCCCTGCGCTGTGTACACATCAATAAGCATCTGAGCTGCAATTGATTTGTTGGTCAATATGCTTAAACTACCAGCTTGTAGGTCAGTCAAGGGACTACTTGAGCGAATTGATGTTTTAAGCTTCAGCTGCAAGCGAATGAGCTAATGGGATCTGCTTTTAGCCCCTCATCCCCGAGGGTTCTGAAGGCTACGAGGTTTCTTTTTTCCCCCCGTTTGTTGTCCGCAGATACTAATTTTCATTATTTTCAAACAAAAACCCTTTCCTTTTGCCTTTTCTTTTTGTCTGAACCACAGTAGATTGCTTCTGGCCATCTGCTAAATTAAATATGTTAGGGAGGGGGAAGCCACAAACATAAATATTATTTCTGATCCTTTTGTTGCCATTGAAAACATTCTGAAATATTTGTTTTATGCACACAGAAATGCTCTTTGTTAGCCCTGAACAGATGTAAAAATGTATAAGACCACCTTGGTAAATGTTCGTAGTAGAATGGTCTTGTCTGATCTGGTCAAATTAACATATTTTGTTGTTTCCTGCACCCTTGCTTGCCTGCACAGACATAAAATCTACTCTAAAATATATTTATATCGTCATAATAAATAATGTGGTATTATTGCGCTATATGATTTAATCCTCTACTCTTGTCACAAAGCTTTAATCCTAAGTGCACAGTGTGATTGGAGACACAGATCCTTTTTAGATAATGCTCTGTAGACAAGTGTGAGAAAATTTGCAACGGCAGTGTGAAGAGTTTTTTTTTCTTTTTTATCCACATCTTTTTGAGTAAACAACCTACACCACAAAGAGAGATTACTCATGGACCAACAGATGTTGTAACAAAAGCTGTGGTTTGGTGTTAATGCACAAGAGTCTGTGAGGGTAGGAAATGGTCACCACTTCTTTAATGTGTTTATACTTTAAGCTGTACAAATACTGTATACTCTTGCATATGTGCCACAAATATTTCGGCCTTTGAACAAAACTGATTGTAGTCGAGCATTCCTTGCTTCTTTGTTGCATTTGATTACTTGTACAAAGGTTCTCCTGAAAAATAATAAATAAACTGCACACTGAATATACGAGCACATCATAGTCGCGTAATGCTTGGTAATGTTGTCATTTTCTATTTAAAGCCAGTTTCTGATTGGAAAAAAAAGTTGAAACATGGCTTCTTAAATATTTTATTAGTTGTAAATTCTTATAAATAATGATCAATCCACTAGGGGTGCACTGTTTTATTGGTTTCCTTAATTTTGGAAGACGGGCAATCGGCCAATACTTACACGAGAAGCCCATCTTCCACCGATCATAAGGTTTAAAAATCAATCACTGTCTCCTTTTGCTCATCTGTGAGCACTTCCTAATGTCTACTTAAGCAATTTTGTACTGCTTTTAAGGGTTCCAATTAAAAAATAAGATTGAAACATTGAAGGTATATTGTGACTTTATATAT